GGCGTGTTGTCTTCTTTAGCTTCCTGCCGCGCCCTGACCCGCAATCTCTTTGGCACGCGCTGCGGATTGTGACTTGCGGTCCTCCTCCTCAACTCCCGTGGCACATCTTGAAAAGCCCGTCGCGAGAGCCCTTTCTTGGCCGCCTTCATGGCGCCCTCGAGCGACCTGATCTCATTCTCGTGCGACTTGAGAAAGTTCTTGACGTTGATCTCGCCATTGGGGTACGCGTTGCTAGTCGAAACCGCGGGGATGACGTACTGGGGTCGTTGCTGGAATCTGGTGCGTTTAACAGGATTACCGGGGCCCGTGTTGGCAGGCTGCTTTCTCTTCCTCGAGCTATCGGCCATGGTGGGACGTCTATCAGCTTATGCTATGCTATCTCAAGCTCACTGGGCCAACGGTCGCGGCGACTGAAATCTTAGCGAGATCTCCACACCAACGGGCCTACTAGCGCGGAGTCATTCGTCACGTCCGCACGTGTTACGCCGAAGCACTGACAGCCTACCAGTGCCGCGCTGGACCCTTTGGCATTGGTCTGCTGCATTCTGTTTCATCGCGCCGACCCCCCTAGCCCGTTGTTTGATTAATTACTCCATTCACAACATCTTCATTTCGCGATTCGGCCTAGAGCTCCACTTGCTGTGCCCCCCTGTGATTGCACCTATCCCCTGCATTGTGCGCAGCCACCATGCTGCCCTGTCCATGTGGTCTAGGACATGTCCTGATCATTCAATGTTTTCCCACACTGCGTCTTCACACAACAACAGCATTTCTACTTTGAACAGCGCCCACCCAACTCCACATAGCACATCCTCTATCATTACCACACGACGCACCCACCCACCTTGCTATTGCTAGTACATAATGACCACCCACACATACACCACAATGTCTCCGACTCCCAGCTTTCAACCTCCTTCCGAGCAAATGTGCAAGATAAATTTCAGCCCACTGCGATCGCCCTCTCCGCGCAAACGCTTCAACAACCACGGGCGCAACCAGTCTGAAGCTATCCAACGCCCGCGGCCCATCAGTGTAGCAGACAACTCCGTCATGGCGCAGCACGCAAAAAGGGCCTCGATATACGTCTCAAACGGATGCTATACTCTCAAAAGCCCAGCCATGTCCTCACCGACGAACGACCCCTCCGAGGTCGTCGATCACTACGCTATCCTCGAACTCACACCCAAGGCCTCCACCGACGAGATTAGAGCTGCGTACCGCCGTCTGCGTTCTGTGTACTTTGCCAACGACGCGAAGAAATACCGTGCGCTACAGACTGGCTTCGACTGCCTCATGGACCCGAATACTCGCGAGCTTTACGACGCAAGTTACCAGCCAGCTGCGGCAGCGCCGGATTCGCTGTCTAGTATTGGTGAGGTGTTGGACCAGGGAAAGCACTGGCGCAAGGATAGCGCTCATGGCGACGACGCGAATGCTGCTATTCCCGAGGAAGAGGAAGAGGAGGAGCAGGACCTACGGACTGACGATCCGAATTGGGCTCTCAAGCGGTTTCAATGTGAGGGTCATGAGATTATACTGGGCACTGAGCCGTATCAGTCCTGGATCCCTCTGCCCACATGCTCGCTGCGGGCATGTAGAGGACCGAAGTATCTCGGCAATTTCGCAGTGAACGCATATCCGTCCGCGAACTAGCCTCTTTCTCCTCGTTCGATACCCCAAATCTAACCACACAGCCTTATCTACTCGGCTCGATAACGCCTGAGTTCTTCACGATTGTTTATAGCAGAGCAGGTCTTGCATGCATTTAGCGGTCTGGCCTTGCGGCGCAACTGGGCGGTCACTTTGTTCCTCTTGGTCCCTTTGGTCCCTTTGTCACCTTAGCGTTATTTTTGCACACCAGCGGCGATTCACCATCATCCCCTTATCTGTACAGGATAGAAAGTCCCAACTTTACTGCAAATTGGCTACACTCACTACATATCTCGTATATCGAGCACACTCTGAATGATAATGTATGACACTAGGAGACTTGGTTCGATCGGCGTGCATATGCATGTGATGAAGTTTATATGGCGAGTCTGAAACATCAGGTCCGCATACGTCGTACGACGGTGTCTACGGTATGCAGGAGATATGCAGGACCAGATAGACGACGGGAAGACTAATGGTGTCACGCGAAGGGGGTCATGACATCACGAGGTAGCGGTGCAGTGGGGTGGCAAAGTAGATAGACCAGAGTCGCATTGCTGATATCGGTCGCTATGATACAGGGCTCTAAGTTGCAAATGCCACTCTGATCCGATCCTGTCCTGCTCTAAGAAACTGTCGCATGCTGGGTGTCGCCGCGAGCTTTCTACTGGTCGAGCTTTACGGGGAAGTTGCCAGCCTCTATATCATGTGTTAGCTATAGCTCTTCAAAGTCCGTTGCGCATTCGACCAATGCGTCTAAAGTGGGTTACTCACCACGCTGGTCGTCCCATCGCGATGTCCAGCCGCTGGGGCACAGGGACTTGTAGGCCAACATGAACTATATCCATCAGTATACATGCCCATCTTCAATGCGACGTTTCCGGAGTGCGCACCTGGCGGCAGGGAGCAAAGTCCTCGCCCTTGGCGATGATGCACTTGTGGTAGTCGACGTAGTTTTGCCAGCAGTGCTTGGTCTGGTTCTGGTTGGGGAAGCGGGCATCGAAGCCTATATGCGCCGAAGCATGTTAGCACCCAATACGGCCCATCTCAAGCTCCAGGCGTCATTTTGGCAGGCGGTGCAGAGCGCAGTGCAAGTCCGGGGAAGGCGTACCAGCTGTGCGGCGGCAGATTAGCGATTGAAGCTCGACATGCGGAGGTGCGGGAAAAGCTCACCAGTGACAAACTTGAAGGGCTTGGTTACGAGCTCGTCGCCGTTCTCGCCGTTCTCGTTGTCAGACATGATTGCGATGGGGGATTGGGCGTGGTTCGGGCGTGGGCGTGGCGGCAATGGCAGGCGGGCGTGTGCAGTCGAAGTGGTGACGGAAGTGAAGTTGTGAGGTTGCGATGGTTCGACCCGAAACGCATTGTCCACACACAATTCGCTCGGCGTTTTCCGGGCGACAGGGCCCGCGAGCTCTCTCAGCATCTGCGTGCCTCACTGTGACGAAAGCCCGCGAAGACGACCTTCGATCCCCCACGACAACGTCTACGAACAATCCTCCACCCCAATTGCGAAGTCAGCAATACCGCCACCATGTTCAAAGCCACCCGCGCCCTCTCCATGCAGCCAACTCGTATGTTGGCCATGCAGCCGACACGCATGGCGGCCATGCAACCTACGCGCATGATGGCCATGCGCCAGAGCCCCCAGCTCTTCATGAGGCAGACAATGGGCCTGCGCAACCCCGTCCCCGTATGCCTTACCGAACTCTATCCTCTGGGAACTTGATGCTGACTATACTGCAGAAGGAGGAGCACGGCGGTAAGCCAATCACAGCGTCCACTTTATGCCATCCCACATGAATTGACGATTGACCATATAGCCCACACCGTATCCCAGCGCATCCGCCAGCTCAAGAACATCCCCACTGAGATCTGGCCTCTGAGTACGTCTGCCCCCTCCCCAGTAACTACCCTCCCCCTTAGCTAACCCAAACTCTAGTCGTCGTCCTCGCGTAAGCCCCTCCATTGCGCCGCATATACCCTCACATACACCTTCATAACACGTAGTCTAATACATCTACAGCATCGCCGTCGGCATGGCCTTCTTCTCCATCACCCGGAAACTCTGGGTCGACAAGACGCTCCGTCTCAAGCGACAGGGCAAGCAGGACTAGATGTCCAGTTGGTGAGGAATAGGACACAGGAGAGATGGAATCGGCGGGCTTGGAAGGGCTCCAGCAGCCATTGTGTATAGGTACAGCATACGGGATAGAGTCCGAGTCACGTTCGATAATCAAGCATGAGATCCCTTTGTGTTGTGTCGTGGGTTTGAATTTGAATCTGATAAACACGAGACATCTTGAATCGTGCCTTTGATATTGCAGCTGACATGGCGATGTACGAGGCAGAGCACCAGTGATTTATGTCGCGCTTCTTGAATTATAATGGTGATATGCGGCTCGTAACCTGATATGCACGAGACAGCACTTGGTATCAAATGTTTCCCAAACGCCTGCAAACGCCGTGCTATGAGACCAAAGAACCAAAGAGATTACACTGGCTTCGGTCCAGCCTCGTCAAGACCCTCCAGGCCCTGCATAGGGTCCATGGGCCCGTTCGCCTCCTCTTGAATCTGCTCACTTGCTTTGCGATCCTCCTCACTCACGGCATGCTTGGCCAACCAGCCCTCCTGCGTTTTGTCAGCATACCAGACGTGTAATTTTTCAGATTAAAAGAAACGTACCTGCTCCCAGATGGCGGTCTTGCTGCCTAGACCTTCATTCGCGTCTTTCTGTGGCTTGGCTGCTGCTACCTTGATGACAGAACCGTACAGCTCGCTCCGGTCCATGTTGTCGATGGCGTCGGTCGCGTCGGTCGCAGTCTCAAACTCAACATAGCCGAACCCCCGATGTTGATCGCCCTGGCTCTGGTTCTCCGGTTTGGGCAAGTTGACTTCGACAATGTCGCCAAAAGGCAGGAAGGCGTGGAAAAGCGTCTGCTGGGTGACTGCCTGGTCGAGGCCGCCGACGAACACGGTGGCCTTTAGTCGTGACGTGTCTGATAAATTCGACATGGTTGCCTGTGGATTGCGATTTGCGACTTGGGTGGTAGGATGGTCGTGTTCTCTTGATTGCGCGCTGAAATTCGATATCACGTGGTTAGCGGGACCCACCTTGGCTGGCGCCCGCCATGGACCAGGGAAGGACAGGTGGATGGTCCTGGTGAAGCACGTCGTTGCCTCAACTCCCAGTCCGCGCTCAAGACACATTGCGGACTCTCGTTGACACCACATAACCCTCTCGTCGCCCTCTACAAAACTCGCTCCCTCGTCCATCATTTTGTTCGTGCCGTATTCCCCAATTCGCTAATCTGACACCGAGGCGCCATCACCGCCCAACACCGTCATGGTCCGCCTACGAGAAATCCCCCGGACCGCCTGTTTCGCCTGGTCGCCAGGCCCGACGCAGCCCCTGATTGCTACCGGAACCAAGGCTGGGGCTGTAGATGCCGACTTTTCAAATGAAACACAACTAGAGCTCTGGGAGCTCAAGTTGGACGACAGCGAGCAGGGTGTCGAACTCAAGCCCGTTGCTACTGTGAGCGTAGAGTCGAGGTACTAGAGGATATTTCTAATCCATTGGGACCAAAGAACTAAACGTCATGCCAGGTTCAACGACATTGCGTGGAGTCAACCCAGCGAACAGTACCCGCGGGGCATAATAGCGGGCGCACTCGACAGCGGGGCACTCGTGCTATGGGACGCAGAGAAGCTGCAGGCAGGCGAAGGGTCAGAGCGCATGGACAGCTGCATGCAACCACAGAGTGCTGACGTTATGCAGCGACGATGCGGAAATTGACCAGATCGACAAGCACACCGGCCCCATCCAGGCGATACAGTTCAACCCCTTCCGATCCAACATCCTCGCCTCGGCCGGTGCCAAGGGCGAACTCTACGTCCACGACCTCGCCGACGACTCCAAGTCCTTCCGCCTCGGCAAGGCTGGAGCGAACCCCGACGAATACACTACACTGGACTGGAACAAGAAGGTTGCGCATATCCTGGCAACCGGCAGCAGCGGCGGCTTTGTCACCGTCTGGGACGTCAAGCTCAAGAAGGAGAACCTCACATTAAACCACTATGGACGGAAAACAGTCAGCGCGGTTTCCTGGGACCCCAATGTGCCCACGAGACTCGTTACCGCTATCCCGACCGACCAGAACCCGCTCGTGCTGGTATGGGACCTCCGCAACACCAATGCGCCAGAGAAGACGCTGCAGGCACACGACCAGGGCGTGCTGTCGCTTTCGTGGTGTGTTCAAGACAGCGACCTTTTGTTGTCTTGCGGCAAGGACAACAGGACGATTGCGTGGAACCCGCACACCGGCGAGCAACTGGGCGAGTTCCCAGTCGTGACAAACTGGACCTTCCAGACCAGATTCAACCCTTCGAACCCGAACCTCCTCGCGACCGCATCCTTCGACGGCAAGATCGCAGTTCAAACACTACAAAACACTGGGGCTGGCGCGGACCAGAACAAGGCCGCGACGGAGGCGCCTGCAGGCGAGGACTTCTTCGCTCAGACTCACGCAGAACCTCAGGGCGCATCTTTCTCTCTGAAGACACCCCCGAAGTGGCTGAAGAGGAGAGCAGGTGTGGCTTTTGGCTTTGGTGGAAAGCTGGTGCGATTCGGCATCGTCGATAACAAATCCAAGATTTCTATCTCCACATTTGCTGTAGACTCGGACGTCAGCGCGGCAAGCGAAGAGTTCGACAAGGCTCTAGATAAGGGCGACATTACCGCAATCTGCGAGTCGAAGATTGCCAAGGCAGCCAATGAGGAAGAGAAGGCCGACTGGACCGTAATTGAGACTCTCACGTCGGAGAACCCGCGAAGCAAGCTTGTCGAGTACCTGGGCTTCTCCGACAAGGATGAAGAGCCAGAAGAAGAGAAGAAGGAGGAGAAGACAAACGGCGATGCGGATGAGGGGTCCTCGTTCTTCGACAATGCGACAGACGAGGGCAACTTCCTGTCCGATCTCGCGGCTTCCAAGGGCGCGAAGACTAACAACCCCTTCCAGATCTACACTGGTTCCGAGTCGGAAGCTGACACCAAGATCACCCGCAACCTCATGCTTGGTGACTTCAACGCGGCGTTGGACGTGTGCCTAAAGGAGAACCGACTGTCAGATGCTTTCATGATTGCCATCTGCGGTGGAGAGAAGTGCATCGCCAAGGCACAGGCTGCATACTTCAAGAGACAGTCCGACGCACCCAACTACCTGCGCTTGCTTGCGTCAGTGGTCGGAAAGAATCTATGGGACTTCGTGTACAATGCCGACCTCAAGGACTGGAAGGAAGTCATGGCCACCATCTGCACATTTGCCGACCAGGCTGACTTCCCCGACCTTTGCGAGGCCCTCGGAGACCGTCTCGAAGAAGCCATCTCTGGAGAGGAAGGAACGTACCGAAAAGATGCGTCTTTCTGTTACTTGGCTGGTTCCAAGCTTGAGAAGGTCGTTGTCAACTGGGCACAGGAGCTTCAGGAGAGTGAGAAGGCAGGCATTGAGCAGACCGACGGCGACAACAGTTTCTCTATCCACGCACGATCACTACAGGAGTTCATTGAGAAGGTCACTGTATTCCGAAAGGTCACCAACTTCAAGGATGCCGAACAGCAAAAGGAGGACGACTGGAAACTCGAGCCTTTGTACGCAAAGTACGTTGAATACGCTGACATCGCATCTGCCCACGGTCAGCTCGCAATTGCGGAGAAGTATCTGGATCTCCTGCCTCAAAAGTACCCAGCTGCAGATGTTGCCAGGAACCGGGTCAAGCAAGCCACAAGGAAGGTTGCAGCTCAGCCAGCGGCAGCACAAAAGCAAGCCCAATCAACCACTGCTGGTCGTCGTCAAGTTGTGGTCCCGTCGTATGGACAGCCTGCACAAGCAACACCGGCACCGCCCCAGCAGACGCCCTACGCTCCGGTCAACCCTATGCAAACGCAACCAAGAGCGTCACCTTATGCCCCAGTCAACCCCCTATCCTCGCAAGCCCAGCCCACTGGACCGTCAACATTCACACCAGCAGCAGCACCCGGCAACTCGTACACACCGGTCGGTTACCAGCCATCTCAGCCTCAGGGCTATGGTTACAACGCAGCGCCCCAACAAGGAATCGCACCTCCGCCACGCAACTTCTCAAACTCGCCATCAATCGTGCCAGCAGCCAACAGGGGCAGCATTCCTGCCTGGAACGACACACCAGACTTCGGTCCCCCCAAGCCAGCTTCGCGTCGCGGCACTCCTATGAACACTGTAGCTTCTCCGTTCCCGAACCAACAGCAGCCCCTCGCAGGCCCACCTCAAGGTCCATTCTCCCCAGGAGCAAGGTCGACACCTCCACCTCCTCCAAAGGGTCCTCCTCAAGGTCCTCCCCGGATGACTTCTCCTCCGTCTGGACCCCCAACTGGTGCTCCGAACCCATACGCACCAGCGCCAGCGTCAAACAACTATGCCGCTCCGCCTGCTGGCTTCGCACCTCCACAGCAGGCACCAGTACAGCGTGGAGCATCGCCATACCAACCACCGACTGCTGCCGCTCCGCCATCGAACCGCTACGCTCCTGCTCCAGGTTCACAACCATCGGCCCCCCTTGGACCAATGGGCGGAATGCCACCGCCACGAAACATTGCGCCTCCTCCTGGCCAGTTCACACCCGTAGGATCAGCATATGCACCGTCGCCTGTGCAGCAAATGCCACCTGCTGCTGCAGCACCGCCACCAAGGGGCCCACCCCAAGGACCTCCGCGAGCAGGACCTCCTCCAGGCGGACCTCAGGGCGGACCACCAAGGCCAGATTCCCGACCTGGCACTGGACAATCGCAACCGGCAGTGCAAGCAGCGCCCAAGTACCGTAAGTGCACCCCAAACCACACAAGAATCATCTCAATCTAACCCTGCAACCAGCTCCCGGCGACCGATCCCACATCCCTGACGCCTCGCGCCCCATCTACGAGATCCTCGACGCAGACCTCCAACGCGTGAAAGCCAAGGCACCAGCTCAATACAAACAGCACGTTGCCGACACGGAGAAGCGCCTCAATATCCTATTTGACCATCTCAACAACGAGGACCTGCTCAAGCCTGATACTATCCAGCAGATGAATGAATTGGCGGCCCAGATTCAGGCTAAGCAGTATGATGCTGCGGTTGCGATTTTCTCGGATCTCATGACGAATAAGACGGATGAGGGGAGTAATTGGATGGTAAGTGAAATGAGATTTGTACTCTGTGATTTGATGAGGATGTAGTGCTAATTTTTGGTTGTGTAGGTTGGTGTCAAGCGGTTGATTCAATTTAGCAAGTCGACTGCTTAGGGAGCTAGTGCTGCGAAGGCTACTGCGACTGCGACTGCGGCTGCGCTGGCCGGTGGGACTGATGATGGGTATGTCTACGTGGAAAAGGTGTATAAGTAAAGGGGTTGGAAGGCAGGTAGATGGAGATTAGCTGGGATAGAGATAGTTTTGAAGAGATGTCTTTAGCGCTATGCATTGCTTAGAGAATGAAGACAGCTGCATGATTTGTGTGCGTGGGTGTGTGATGGTGATGATGTGTGGTTTTGTACTACTGTGTGTTGTGTGTCTTGTGTAGAGGCATGAAGGTGGATGTGCCTTGTTTGCCCATGCGGTGGATACTTCTCTGTACGTCGCGTCCCGTGTATTTTGTCCTTTCTACAGGAACGACGACCACATGCTTTCAAAAGTTACAACGAGAACACCAAAGCCGGATCAACACTCTAAGAAGTGTACGCTATCAATTTCAAATTACGTGCCGGAGTGAACAAGACATACATAACCAACCACTTGTGCAATTGTAAAGCTTGGTACACAGCGGAAATATGCGAAATCTTGAACCAAAATATGTGGGCTCGTTCTTAAAACACGATGGGAGTAGGGTGTGAGTGTAGCAACACCCTCGTTCACCGGTCAACCTACCCTATCTACCTCTCACAACAGCGACTGCACAAATAACCACCCACACGCCCAAACGTATCATCCAGGCCCGAGCTAGACACCACACTGCAAACCACATAAACACCACACAAGAAAACTTTGCAAGTGCGTCCCAACACAAAACCCTACGACTTACCTTATTTCTCCACAGTCGACCGAGTACCTACATATCGTACTCTATCTACAACGCCTGCGACAACGATAATGGTGTTCAAAGGATTCATCTGGCTGTGGATAGCAGTATGCGTCCTGTTCTTCATGCACATGATGTTGCTGATGTGGATTAATGGAAAGGGAATGCCGGGGTGGTTGAGGGGGTAAAGGGATAAAGGGGAGGGAGTGGAAGGGGTTGGTGAAAGGTAGACGGGGAGGGGTGAGGAGCTGTGGTGAAGTGGTAGAGGGGTGAGGGTAAGAGTCAGGATGAAGATAAGGAAGCCCGAGAGGGGTAGGAGGTAGACGGGAAGGTAGAGAGCGGAGTGGAGAGAATAGAAATTCGTGTAGGTACCGTGGGAGGTGCTGTAGTGCTGAGTTTGGAGAGCAGGCGATGGGGATGGGGATTCGAAGGATGCTCTGATGTTTTGGGTGTTGCTGTGTCTTGGTTTGTCGTGTGGGAGTAGGAGGCTGAAGAGGTCTGACAAGCAAGTAGTGTTTAGTGTTACGATGGAGGTGTGAACTTGGTATTGTGATTTGAAGAAATTAAAAGGTCGTTGAAGATGGCCTGGTTGTTCATGCAATGGTTTGGTTTGGTGGTGCATATGGAGTCACTCTACTGTTAGGTTGACATGCATGGTATTATCACCTAGTTTTATATATGTACGAGGATGCAGAACAAATAGTGATCAAGACCAGGTGGGAATATTTCAGAGTCGGCTGTGCTGCTCCGTTCCTTGAGATAATCTGGCAGTATCGTAACGAGGTGATCGGTTTCTCGCGCTTTTCGTGAAAAGTCACTGCTACCAAGCTGGTGCTTTCAGATACTATCGTGAAAGATTCATATAAATGGGCTGATGACGATCGTACCCCTTAGATCGCGATATATTCAAGCCATCAGTGGACCGTGTGTTTCAGTGGATCTTTGCACAAATGACGATTGTGCAGATACATTATGCATACCTAGGTAGAATGCCATCTCGTTGCAAGCATGGCTAAACATCACAATCGCGATGGCCTGTTGAAGTGTAAGTTACGTAGCGATAGCCTTCTTGATGAGTTCGACCAATGCAATTGTGCTCGTGATGGGATTGTAGAATGCGAAAGGTGGGATCTGGCATGAGATCGGGCGGGTTCGCTAATCGTAGCCGATCGGGTCTGAGCCGATCTCAGACAACACCAGCGTCATACTATCAAACCTCAATGTAATGACGTAGTCGCGAGCTCGACGCGTTAGCCACCCAACATGGCAATAGAAGCACGGTTCGCGGGTTTCAGCCTCCTTTCAATAAACTTGCTGTTCCCTCTGCAGCGGCATCACCTGAGTCCGGACACATGCTACGTTCCCTTCACAGCATCTGCTCTCGTGTCGCATTCCATCCACCACTCCGAGCGAAGGCAACTTTTCAGAGATCGCGCGTGATTTCCTATCTTCCAACCATGCCCCCTAAGCGGAAGAGATCTGCTGTAGCAGCTACGGTGCCTACGACCGAAGAGGCGCCCCCAATGGACCGATCACAGATGCGCCGAACAGACGTGCCTTTGCCGTCAAACGTCGCGAAGCCTCCTCGTCGCCAAACGACGCGTGGGGGAAAGGCTGAAAAGACCGACCCTAATCTCAACCCTGACATCCTCGATGGAGTCACTGCATTACGCGCATCGCCTGACGGACACGAAAGCGCCGCGCATGATGCTGTGCTGGAATCTGCCGTCAGCAACGGTACTGCGAATGAGGCGAATACTGCATCAGGTGCGCCTGCGAAGAAGAAGGCGCCCTCAGCACCTGCCACAAACGGCGATGCGCCCGTAGCGAATGGCGCCGCCCCTGCAGCGAATGCTGCAAAGAACAAGCGAAAGAAGGCCGGCGCCCAGCAAATCAAAGTGGAAGAGGAAGACACCAACAACAATGCCGTGAATGGCGTAGCTGGAAATGTCACTGCACCTGCAGCCAGCACTGGGGTAGCGGCAGATCCCGACGATGTCGATAACCTCGAGGCTGAGGACGAGGACGAGGCAGAGGTCAAGGAAGCCCTGTCGAGACCCCCACCGGTCAACTCTGAATACCTTCCTCTTCCGTGGAAAGGACGACTTGGCTATGTATGTGTCCTGCAGGTACCTTTTAATCTAAACTAACGAATGTGCATACAGGCCTGTCTCAATACGTACCTCCGCAGTGCTACCCCTCCCGTCTTCAGCTCCAGAACCTGCCGCATCGCGAGCATCATCGAACATCGCCATCCCCTGAAGGACCCCTCCCAGCCCGAACATGCCACTAAGAATCGCCCCGATAAGGAACAACCAGCGGATGTCGCGCGGGGCATGAAATACGTTGAAGAGATTGGCCTCGCTAATGCGCGGGATATCATCAAGATGGTGCGCTGGAACGACAGGTACGGCATCAAGTTCATGCGCTTGAGTAGCGAGATATTCCCGTTTGCAAGCCACGACGAGTATGGCTACAAGCTTGAGCCTTTCGCTGCCGAGACGTTGCGTGAAGCAGGCAAAGTGATCGGTGAGCTGGGTCATCGAGTGACTACTCATCCGGGCCAGTTCACACAATTGGGCTCTCCGCGAAAACAGGTCATTGACAACGCAATGCGTGATCTGGAGTATCATGCTGAGATGCTTTCTCTTCTGAAGCTTCCAGAGCAGCAAGATCGGGATGCTGTCATGATCCTGCATCTCGGTGGAGCATATGGCGACAAGCCAGCGGCTATTGAGAGGTTCAAGGAGAACTACGCAAGGCTTCCTCAAGGAGTCAAGAACCGTCTGGTGCTTGAGAACGACGACGTTGTATGGAACATGCATGAGTTGTTGCCTCTATGTGAAGAGCTTAACATCCCATTCGTGCTTGATTATCACCATCACAACATTCTCTTCGACGATACTCAGATCCGTGAAGGTACCAAGGATGTCATGGATTACTATCCCCGTATTCTTGCAACATGGGAGAAGAAAGGGATCACGCCCAAGATGCATTACTCTGAGCAAACACCTCCTGCGATTACTCGCACGAAGCGGAGAAAGCATTCACCCCGCGTCATGACATTCCCTCCCTGCCCTGACACGATGGACTTGATGATCGAGGCAAAGGACAAGGAGCAGGCTGTATTTGAGCTCATGCGAACTTTCAAGCTCCCAGGCTTCGAAACTTTCAGCGACATTCTGCCACATACGCGCCAGGATGAGAACAAGCCTTGGAAGCCGAAGCCCAAGAAGGCTGTCAAGAAGAGCAAAAAGAAGAAGACCGACGAGCTTGATGAGCTGGATGCGAAGATTGAAGAGGAAGAGCCAGAGGACGTACCACCACCCATTGTACCTGACGAGGAAGTAGGCATGGGAGGACCAGAGGGAAGAGTGTACTGGCCCCCAGGAATGGAGGACTGGCTCAGACCCCCAAAACGGATCATCAAGAAGAAAGAAGACGGCGCCGCTACGCCAGCGAAGAAGAAGCGCAAGACCGCCGCTGACGCGGCCTCCATAGCAAGTGAAGCCGCTCCACTCGAGGATGTCAAGACGCCCATCAAGACACCAGCCAAGAAGGCCGCACCAGCTAAGCGAGCAGCAGCTTCATCGACTAAGAAGAAGGCAGCAGCAAAGTCCGTGCCAACACCTTCGGCGTCAGACGAAGAGGATGATCAACTTAGCTCACCCCCGCTTAGCGAAGGGACCGAGGACGAGGCTCCTGCTGTGCAGAAGCGAAATGCACGACCTGCCGCAACACGGAAGAAGTCTGGCAGGGCCACGGCCCAAGTAAGCTACAAGGAAGAAGCGGATGAAATGAGCATGTAGACAAGTGTGTACAACCAATCTCATCGGTAGCCCCAAGGCAGCTAGTAATGTCAATCCAATGTATGAATACGCGAAATTCGGTCCTTCAAACACGAAATAGCGACATCCAAAGCATAATTCACATCATCTCGGTTGTACGAGGGTGTGTCAAGTGTGCTTGTGCTAGAGGAAACAAACCTCCGAAGCCTGCTAGATCCTTCCCTTCCCGCTTCAGGCCGTTGTCCCGCGCCCCTTCCTTCCCGGCCTTGTCCCCCTCTTTCGTTCTCCGAAACCACTTGTCGTTGCTCTGGCCTACTTTGCTCTAACTCAGTTCTCAATGCGCACTTCCCCACATTATTGACGTAGGAGCCAATGGGTATATCTCGTGTTTCTCGCGCTTACCTATCTATTCACCTTCCCAACCTAGCTGGAGTGGCCGGAAC